CTTACCGCCTCGCTGCCTTGTGGGTGAGGCTGTAGCTAGTCAAAGGATCCGGCTGTAAATTCACCGAGAAAATTCACCTGGCTTGGCCTGGACAACCTCGTGATTTCGTGCTCCCATGCAAATCATGGAACTTTTGTTTCTTTTCATAACGATTGTTGTGCCGTGGTTTGTGTGTCTTCTTTCGTTTCCTCTTGAACTACACTTCTCTCTGTTCTATACATAGTCAGCAGGCGGATTCTGAGTCATCAACAACAGTTATGAAAAGAAACAAAAGTTCCATGTTCTATACATAGTCAGCAGGCGGATTCTGAGTCATCAACAACAGGGTGTACGAATCGATCGGTTGACTGCAGCATACTCTGGGTAGGGATGTTGAATCCAGTAAATGAGGCTACTACACCCATTTAGGGCCCTTCTGACTTCATTTGGTGTTACCGGAACTGTGGTGAACTGTCCACGATAGTGACCAGTAATTGTTCCCTTCGATAGTTAATTCCATGTAGCAACGGTATATTTTCTTGTGCTTTGGTGAACAGAAAATTAGCATTACCGATGCTGATAATCCCAAAATGTATATCCATGCTAATGAAGCCTAACACTTCCAAATATTAGATTTCGCAAATTAGTTACTCATCGATCGCAATCAGTCAGCCAACCAGGATGAAAGGCTTTCTAGGGCTTGTTTGCTCGTTACTGAGTATTCACTGTACTCAACTCCATTCAGTAGGAAAGGAAGCGCAAATTAAGTGTTCTGTAATACGACACCGCGTTGTTAGTTCCCCGAAAACAAAGTAAACTTTGACATGCGTAAATTAACAAAAGAGGCTAGATAGAAGAGGGACAGCAGACTTTTCTTCCATATTCCATTCAAGTGGTTCTACTCAATACATGACAAGTTGTGGTGAACCTAGTTTATGAGATAACGCAAACCACGGAGCGATACGTTACAATTTTCGGACAACTGTGATCAGTCAAGCTTCAAGGGTGAGGGCTCCAAAGCGTTCAACGCATTACAGCATGTAGACTACGAACCATAGTCTGATGGTACCAACCAATCAGAAGCCGTGCAGCCCAGACAGAAGCTGTACAACGCCAGAAATACTAGAACGCAATTGGCAGAGGCTTGGATAACCAATGAACTTCTTTTGTACTTGTTGCTTAATCCCACTAATTTCTTTCAATAAATGAAGTGATATTCTTGTTGCCTTTACCTCGCGTCTCTGTTACGCGGGATACTATCGTGCTAGTGTGTACCAGTGTGATCCAGTGCTTACGAGGCGTCCGTTATTTCTGATACGTGATTCGTGTTACGTGATCAATGCGTACCACAACTACTACCACATAAGCACAATGTTTCCCCTGGTAATTCATCCTTCTCTGCTGATGTTTTTGCCTTGTTAACAATTTTTTATTGACTACCACAAAGTTGCGTCCCAACAGCCAACAGCCGTATGTTTATTCGATTAGAAAGAGTTTTTATTGTCAAAATGGTCGGCGACCGACAGTGAGAAACAGTGGTGAGGGGCACATGTGGCATAGACTTGGTTGCCTGATTGGCTAAAGACAATCGAATTGGATAAGCCAGTGAGTGAGTGAGTGAGTGAGTGAATTTGTCGTTTGGTCATGGCTGGCTTTTTCACTTTGTCGTGTTTAGTCAGTCCGACCATTGAACAACACGCGCGCGCACACACACACACACACACACACCTTAGCCCTGGAGTCTGCTGTCCTGAATGCACGGACATGCGATTTCTCGAATGCACGTGTGTGTGTGTGTGTGTGTGTTCTGTTTCGCAGTGAGATTGCAACGAGTAAAACAATTGTGAACTCAACCAAAGATATCAAGTGTTTTTTTTTATGTGCTCGCTTCACATCCACTTGAGTCGTCCAGACCACAGATGATGATTTGGGTAGTTGCGTTTTCTTTCGCTCAGTTTGCTCCTAGCGCAATCAAATTACGGTGCATTGCAACGCATTGAGATCCAACAGGTGTTGTCAGAAGGAGAGCACTCACTGTCGCGGAAAATGAACCACTTTTTCAAAACGAGATGAAACGTGAATGACTTGACCCACGGTTGGGACGAGAGATGCTGTCAACGGATCGAAGGACTAGTAGATTAGTTGGAAAGGTTGATTTGGGCACAGATGGGCTAACATTCCAGTAAAACTGCAATCGGATCGATAGGCTGGAAGCACTGAATATGAACAATGCCAATCCCGTTCTCACCAATGTTGACCAGGACCCAAATCACTGTCAATTATCCTAATCCCATATACGGAATCCACCTTATTGATCGACTAGGACATCTTACTTCCCTAGACCAACCATCTCATATAGCTCCGAACTGAACAATCCACACATCAACAAAAGTATTACTTTTCAGTCCCCCACCCGGTGGGTCGCTCAGTTGGTCTTTGACTTTTCAGGATGCATGATTCCGTTCCCCCCGGGCCTAGTGGTTAAGGTTTGTCACAGTCTGTACTCAAGCAACAAGGCTGATCGATCGTATCATGAGTGAGCGAACTAGCGAGTGTGCGCGCCAATACGATTGTTTATTGTGAAAAGGTTTGTTTTATACTTTGTGTGTTCATCATTCAGAGTCAAGGCAAAGATAGTCAGCACAGAGGATCCCTGAAAGCCGTTTCACTCCACTGATCAATCCAACAGAAAATTCACTGAATGGCTACCGGTACTCAACAATAGGTGTTCTTTGACTCTGCATCTACCTCTAGAATTATTTGTCAACGAATAATACAAACCCTACAGAGGTTACAGTTTAGCAACAATTTCAGTTCAGTTCAGTTCTTACAACCATTAACCATGCACTTTCGTACGCCGGTTTGCCTTGCTGTCTTTTGGTTGCCCATTTGCATAAAACAGCAGCATGATGATTTGAATTTTGAGAGAAGATTCAAGCGGAAGGTAGCACATTTACGTAGACTAGTGTCAAGAATAATGAGTAAATGCATGAGCGCCACTGTTTGCGACACCCAGCCATATCGCTCAGTGTCCCTAACCGTCGTTGACCATGATCTCTGGGTCCCCAGCCAGGGAGCCTAACGGGACCGATATGAGCCAGTCTTCTGGTCAGTCTTCATACCCTCAAGACAGGTCTTAGTTTGACCGCCCTTGATCTTTTTCCAACCGCTACCTGCCTCGGCAAACATCGCTCACCATGGTAACCTATCTGGTGACATGCGTAGCACATGTTCCAACCAGCGTAATCTATGGAGATCGACTACCTGTTCCAGTTGACGACCGCTATTAGCTGAAACTCTACGCCTAACCTCGGCATTGCTCGTCGGGTTTCCCCACCAGACTTGTGCAATGCGACGTAGACAGCGGTGTTCAAACACCGACAGTCTATTTTTATGCTGTTCCCGTAATGGCCAAGTCTCTGCGCCGTAAAGCAGAACTGGCCGAACTGTTGCAGCATATACTCGACCCTTTACATACAACCAGATGTCGCGATGGCGCCACAGATGTCTCAAGTCGGCAAATGCCAACCGAAATTTCTGTATGCGCGCCGGCACTTCATCTGTGATGTGTGCGCCAGGTGAGATATGGCTGCCCAGGTAGCAAAACTTGTCTACTTTCTCTACAACTTCCCCGGTCAGGGTGAGGTTGGAGACTGGGCCAAACCAATCTTGTAGTAGCATTTTACACTTTGAAAGTGCAAATCGCATGCTGAACATCGCTACACTAGCACACAAACTATCCAGAAAAGCTTGCGACGTACCTGAATCTTCACTTAGTAGCACAATGTTGTCTGCATAGTCTAGATCAGACAGTCTGCCAACTTGGAGTAAATCGATACCGCTATCCTCGTACGAACATAGGGCTGTTTCAATAATTGAATTTATAACGATGTTAAATAGAAAAGGAGAGAGGAAGCAACCCTGTCGAACACCATTTTCCTTGGTGAAATCGAATGAAATAGTCCCGTAAGCTCGGACTCGGCTTTGGCTATTATTACAGAGGGATTGTAATATAAAAATAAACTTTTCGGGCACACCCTTCAGTCGCAACAATTTTTGGTTGCTATTGCAAACACAGATTCGGTTGTTTTAAACATTGAGGATTTTAATTCTATCTGGTAACAAGTTAGCTGTAACAGATCCCGGAATGTTTTCCTCGTTTCGGACGGATGTTGTTGACGGTCCAGCACGCCAGGTTGCTGTTTCTTTTCCGAAACATCTCCTTACGAGAGTGGGCCAATCCCCAACCCTCCCCTCCCCCAGGTGGATCTATTTGATCGAAATTTCCTCGAACGGCGTCGAAGTTAATGGCTTTGTTGCGTGTGTCGATTAATGTTGACCCCGTTTCGTGTTTCATAGGCTGCTTCTTCTATGTCCACGCTTCTGCTGATTGGTTCGTGCAGACAAAACCGGGACCCAGTGAATTTGCAAGCATGGTCTGTGTGTGTGCTTGATCGAGGAACTGCCGAGAAAAGTTTCACTATGTTGATATCAAAGCATCTCACATGTTTGGAAAACAAACGAAAAATCAATAACGGTCATCTGTGTTATCCGCTGTAAATTTGTTTTAACTAGTTATCGATCTGCACAGCTAAATTTCTTTTTCTCTTGATAATGGTCGGCCATTAGTGCGCGCGCACACACACACAGGAGATCGCTCAAATCGGAGCTAGGATAATGCTCAACTTGACAGTTCTCAATCGAAAGTCCCGTGCAAAACAGTAAAGTAATTCAAATGGACATATTCGGATTTGGTTTTGGGGGTACACGAGTTGCACGACGATATGCTATAGCAAATTTATCAAGTGCGAAACAATACCATGTCTGACAAATCTGTGCCAAAAACCGAGTCCCAAAATAAAGACAAAATCAGTCCGGAGGAACTACACACATGACGCAAACATGGTTCACGCTTACCGTGGGTGTGACCGAGAAATACGGTCCCAAATAGAGCAGTACGAAAACGATGAGTACTGAACTGGCTATTCCGTTTAACTGAAACAGATCAAAAAAAGACAAAATTGGTTAGTCAAGGAATTTTTTATGGACAGGAGCCACGTGGAGAAAGAAAGAAAAGCTTTCACTGTTGTTGGTGGTGGTGGTGATGCTGTTGTTGTTGTTGTTGATGATGATGATGAAGACACCAATGCACGGATACACAGATGGAGGACTTCGTATCCTACCCGAAGGCCAATTACAAACTAGTCTTTGGATACGGTTGTCTTGCTGGTTGCTTTTCCGGTCACCATATCCGCCAAATGGCAAGAGGGACATGGGCTTGATCAGGAAACTAACGTTTTAACATTCCATTGCTAAGCAGAAAAGGGTATCAAATTTTACCCAAGAAACGGTGGCCTCACCCTAAATGGAAAATACCGCAAGCCTCGGAGCGATAGTGATCCTAGTCTACGGGATAACGCCAGCCACGCAGCGACGCGTTACAGTTTCTGAACAACTGTAGTGAGTTAACCCTCTCAGATGACACCAACCAAACGCTTACGCATGACAGCTTCCGGACAGCGAACGACCGGTCGATCGTGCCGACCAATTAGAAGTCGTGCGGTCCAGACAGAAGCTGTGAGACGTCCGGAAAACAAGTAGGCCATTGGTAGATACCTATATAACCAATAAACCTCATTTGCACATGTTGCTTAATCCCCTTGATTTCTTTCAGTAAAGGAACTGCCGTTTCTATGTTCTTTTTCTTGTGTCTCGGTGATGGGAGATACCAGCAGGCAAGTACTAGTGTGATTCAATATTTCCGTTGCATCCGTGATTCCAAATTTCTAATTCGTAATTCTTGATCTGTGTCTACTTCAACTACAACAAACGGCCACTGATCAAACACGTTGTTATCAGGTATCGCTAGTAGGGACCCATTAAAGACTGCTGTCATCAGTGGTCGACGGGACTGAATACGAGCCATACTCTATTAAGAGCCAGATTCTACCTGCGCCTGGAAAATAATCGCACTGGTGCTGTTGAAAACAATTAGCCACATTACCACGCAAACCACAAGGGTGAATCGGTCTCTGAGGGGAAGCTTTCTCTCTCTAGTCATCTCTCAGTTCAACGAACCGTCGACGACTCAATTGACGTTGGACTCTGAGCACAAAAAAGCATGCAACCACCAATCACTCTAAAAAGCGCCGTATTTCCGTACGTAATCACCGCGCAAACCACAGATTTCCTCCCGATCTCTACTGCTNGCCAACTGTTATACAACGCTCAAACATGTGTGGCACGTCAGTTCATCAGAAATCTTTTGACTCTGGTATTGACTGAGCCGCGTACTGCATGTACTCCAACTAATGGATAGCGCAAGCGCGCACGACTTCACCTACAACGAAGGAATCGCTCTCTCATCGATACACGGGAGTTACTCACATACTCCGTGTTCTTGTTTTACTATTGCTGATACAACCCGGTTCAATGTGGCTATACTGTCTCGGTAGAGGCCTGAATACTATTCATGGAACTCTGGTGAATCTATACGTTGGCGGTTCTATACAAATAATGAAATCACAAACAAATTATGAAATTGGTAAGACTAATGTGACGCGTGAGTAGCTCGTGTATTGTATGGTGTGCGAAGCGCATGGCATTGAGTTCAATCGCTCGGTCACATCGGTCCAGGTCGAATCTGATCTGTGGCATAACCAATTGCAATATAAAATCGATGACATTTTCATATTGACTAGCAGGAAATTCATTAGCATGAGTTGTTTAAATCTATCAACTTTGTCTGTTCCTCAAACCAATGTGGGTTGTGATTGGTCACGGGGACAAATCATCTTAATCAATATCGAAAACCATGAAAGGTAAAAACTGAGAATTTTGAACATTTTCGGTTGCTGTGATTTCTCACACCGTCCACTGAGACTGCTTGTGGCGACCCTAGCCTACGGGGTAACGCCAGCCATGGAGCGACGCGTTACGATTTCTGGACAACTGTGGCGAGTCAGCCAGTTGACGTCAACCAAACGCCCACATTTTTCAGTTTTTGGGCGATGAACCATAGACCGATCGTGCCATCCTATCAGAAGTCATGCGGTCCAGACCGAAGCTGAATGACGTCAAGAATACATGCACCCGATTGGTGGATACCTGCATAACCAATAAATTTCCTTTACCTACGTTATTTAACTCCATTGATTTCTTTCCATAAAAGAACTACTACTTCTGTGGCTTTTTTCCGGTTCGTTCACGGCTGTTTCGGGATCGATTCAGTTAGCATACTCTCCTTATATAGTCTTATATGGAGACTACCAGCAAGATGAGTGAAACCTGCATGACGAATCATGTGACGAAAGTTTCAACAACGAAACCATCGCCATTGCTTTTATTATTCGTGGCCACAATTACTTGGGATGATTTGAAACATGTGGCGTACGTTCATATTTAGAAATAAAGTTAAACAAACAAGACTTCTTTGATCAAATAGATGTCAACAGAGAGCGAGAGAAAAACAGCCTTTCTGAGCCTTGATTGTCTCCACCAATGGAGTAATCTTCACTTCAGGTGTCCCGTATGATTTGACAGCTGTTTCGACCTGGTTGGGTCTCATCAGCAATGCGAATCCATCGATCCAACTGGGGATCGAACCCGGGACCTCATGGGTAGAACGCAAGCATGCTACCCACTCGACCACCGGGCAGCTGATCAGACCGATTCTCATTTGGAATTTACACGATATAGCACAACCCATCTATGCGAACTTGTTGCAGGCCACAGACCGCGCTCATCTCAGCACTAACCTCCGGGGTTATGGCTCGGTTGGAAACATTCACAACCTGACTACTTATTTGAAGTGAGTATTGAAGGATTTAATTCATTTTCAAGAGAGAAGTCGTCGTGTATATAGCAAATGAAGCGTTAAAGATTCCAACCGAGTCATAACCCTGGAGTCTAGCGCTGAGATGAGCAGGAGCTGTGGCCCGCAACAAGCTCGCAAAGATGGGTTGTGCTATATCGTGTAAATGGAAGATGAAAAACGGTCTGACCAGCTGCCCGGTGGCTGAGTAGCATGTTTGCGTTCTGCTCATGATGTCCTGGGTTCAATCCCCAGTTGGATCGATGGATTCGCACTGCTGATTAGACCCAACCAGGTGTAAAACAGCTGTCCAGTGCTTCCTAGCTTTTCAGTTCATGCTTCATTTGCTCTATACACGGCGAATTTACCTTTGAAATTGAATCAAAATCCTCCAACACTCACTTGAAGTACCCCCACATCGATTGAATAATTTTTAAATCTTTTTCTCGTACTATTAGTCAATTGAAAATGATTCATACTTTGCTAGATCGCGATGACGAGGTGCAAAGAGGGGGGGAAGGTCAGGACTCACCGGTGTACGTGCTCCTGCACCTTCGCAGACTGCACTCCGGGAAACACTGGCGGCTGGAGCGAAACTTGCAAAAAATGCACACGCGATTGAGATCACACCGTAAGAGGTGAGTTCCTGAAACAAAACGGGTAGATATATGCACTTGAAATGCCCAAAACTCTAATAAATGAAGCAGAAATTTTCTTGGTTTGGATTATTTAGATATCACCTTCCAGGAGCATGATTCGAATTACCTACTTTGCGTTTGACTCAAATGATCATGATGAAAGTACCAATGCTATGGATATGTGATAACCATAGTTTTCTGCCATCCTCCCCTTTTACATCTTACTGAACCCATTAATATACAAACAATTTACTGAAGAGAGCCGTAGCCACCAAGGTTTCCCTAAGGACCACACGGAAACAGAGAAGTTGAACGGTGGAGACGAGGTTTGAACTCGGGACCAGTAGGTGGCAGATAACTTTAATCGCCCAGGTCGGATTATTTCTGACGCTCAGTGGAATCCGCAAAAGTACACGTATGCAGAGCACGAAGAGTGGCACTAAACAGTTACCGTGGAACGAATTTCCGACAAAATGGTCAGTTCCTTTCAATATGTTTTTCCATATGGCAAGCTTATCGTATTTTGTTTTCCCATTGCACAGTGCTCGCCTTGATTCCCTAGACCACTCATCTGATGCGATAATGCCACAGCACTGGTTTCAGTTTTCCGGAATTGCGTAACTTGCTGAAAACTACACTCAAATGCTTTACTCTTTTCTCGGAAGTCGCATCCATATTTGGTCAGAGTAAATTTTTCACTGCAAATCTCCCATGACAATAGACATGGGGATTGTAAAAATTGAGGTTTCGTATTTTGCGCAATTCCTCAACCGATTGATTTTATCCGGCAAGTTTCATGGACCACTGTAACTGTTTCATGCATCCCCGGACTCTAATCTCGCTAGCCAATAAGATTTCCAAACCTCTGACTGTTCTTTACCAAAGGATGTTCAACAAGGCAGTAATTCCGCAGTCATGGAACGAACGGGTGATTTCCACCATTTACAAAAGGGGATCTCGCAGTGATCCCACCAACTACCGCCTTGTTACACTTCTTCCGTCACTGTCCACAGTCATGGAAACTATAGTGGCAGATCTGTTGATAGAGTATCTGAAGAAGCATGAAATTATGTCTCAAACTCGGCACGAATTTCGGCACAAGCGTTCGTGCACCACAAACCTACTACTTGCACGGGATGAGTGGACAAAATCCGTCGATGCAGGTCGGTCATTGGATATAGTTTACTTGGACTTCTCCAAAGCATTTGATCAAGTAAACCACCAGATTCTGCTGCGAAAACTACAACTACGGAGTAAGAGGTTTGGTTCTGGACTGGATCAAACTGTTTCTCCGACAAAGAACCATATCAGTTCTTGTTGGTGATTCATTAGCAGAGCCTATCACCGCTGCCCCAGGGGTTCCTCAAGGATCCGTGCTGGCGTCTCGTTCTTTCTTCCGTTTATAAACCATCCACCACAGATGTCCTTGGGCCTAATAAATTGCTATTTGTGGACGAATCTAAAATCTAGAGAACTGTAGCACATCCAAAGGATTATGCAACACTCCAACAAATGATGAATTCGGCCCACCGATGGTCAATCACCAATGATATCCAGTTCAACGTTTCAAAATGCAGAATTGTTTTCATGTGCACAAAACTTATTTTTCTGGGGAACCGAATACTGCTGCATGCCACTGATGACAGGGATTCTGGAGTTATGGTACAGGAGGACGTAGGATGTTCCACGCACTGTGCCAGAGTATCAGTCATGTTGAACTACTCAGACGTGTTTTCGGGTAGTTCGAAAGAGCACTAATCCCACGCTTGCTATCAGCGTTCGTTCGACCACACACGGAGTACGCCATTCAAATATGGAATCCATGGTTGAACCGCGACAAGAAGGCTATAGAACATCCGCAAAGGTTGGCAACATAAATGGTAAAAGGTCTGTATAACTAGAAATACTCCAAAAGACTGCAAATATTGGGACTCTACTCATCTCAACACCGCCAACTTCGGAGGGACATAATCTTGGCATATCACATACTGCATCAACCCAACCACCCTTGCCGTTCTATGCTGACTTTAGCTCAAAATGACCACCTCAGGGAACATTCACTAAAGTTGAAGACCCAGAACAGCCACCTTGATTGCCGGCATCACTCGTTTGTAATCAGATGTATGGAATTCTCTTCCATCCGATATAGTGTGTGCTCCTACAATGGAACTATTGCAACTTGATAAAGCATTGGAGCGCATAAAATTTCGACATCCGTGAGTTATTATGCAAGTTGTTATTATTATTTTCTCTTTGTGAAGTTATTCAAAATATTCCGTAAAAATCCTATAAAGCACGACAAGCTTTAGCTTTGTTGAATCGCCCACAATGAAACTTTGCCTTCTACTTTGATTATTGAATACTGTTTCATTGAACCCAAACGGAAAGCATATTGTCGGTCTGTACTTGAGAACCTCCTATCTACCGGGTCTGTGTACGCACAACTCTAATCGCCTAAAGCGTTGCTCATATCTCCCAAAGTTCAAAAATGTATCATCAGAGGACCTGACTTTCGTGAACAGTACTCTACTCGAATCTGTTGTAGAAGAATGCGTGCTTCTGATGGCGGTTGACCTTTTGTGACAAGTAAAGACCATAACTGACTGAGTTTCAATGTTTGCAGTACTCTTCTTAGAATATGATCAACCTTGAAACAGGAACAGCTTTTTCCGATTCCGAAATTATTCCACGAGGAGTGAGGTTTGATGCGTGGCGATTGATAAATATTCTTAGGATAACCGGGATTGGTTCATCACAGAAACCGAACTACCTTGTGGATCACGCACAGTTATGTGACGGTGAGATGCGCACCCTCAAACGAAAGTCCGACAGATGTTGCTCACGCTACACATGCCAAATTCTCAATGAATCCGGCGGACACAACACAGAAGATAACCGAATTAAGGTGGGGTTTGTGGTGTAGATACACGCATGAAATCTGTTCTTCTCACCTCGTCCAATTGCTTCAAACTACATCTAATCTCATTGTGTTCCGTGTCCATGATATCAATGCATAGACTACTACTTTCAATGACAATCGGCCATCCATGCGTGAGTAGTTCCCTGCATAATTTTTCATTTGACCTTGACAACGTTTCTTTGCCGCTATTTTACTCCAATTTACATCACATGAGATGTGATTTAATCGATATGGTTATTACTTTTCACAATTTAGTATCATTGAGATGATGAAATCGACTCGGAAATCAAGTACTGGCGTTTTCACTTTTTCCGTGCGACTTAGTTTGTTTGTGTGTCAGAGAGTAACCGAAACGAGAATGTGTAGCTGAAATTCAAAAACATTCGAATCCAGTTGATTGTACCTATCATCTGTCGGCACATTTATTTCCGTCCATACTGAAAAGTTCGGTTCACCCGACGCAATGTCACGCATGAATACGTTCTGGGCCCATCTTTGACGATCCAACTGCTTGCATTATGGTCATGTGAATAATAGACACACACACACAAACACACAAACAAAAGAAAGACCAGATTTGTGTTTCTTCTTACTCGGATCGCTCTCTGATATACACTCAGAGTCGTGGCATGAGCCGTGATTCGAACTGAATTTAAAGCTCTACAGTACAGGTCAGCCAGATGTGTGACGAATAACCGATCTGACTGACTGACTGACTGACTGACTGACTGACCGACTGACCTCGACTATCGATCGAAATAACTCACGTGATTATAGTTCAATTCGGTCTTGTATCGGATTGCGAATAGTTTGACCAGAGAGATTGTCAAAAATGTCCCCGTGATACCGACAATTAGAGCGTCAGCAAACAGTTGGGGCATTAGTGACCAAACTGGTACAGTAATGCTGGGCATACTGTAATCCCAGCACGGGGTCATATTAACACCAGAAATACGCGGGGAGAGTGAGAGGGAGGGAGGGAGGTAAATACGCGGTGAATGCATCGGTATCCGTGACGAAGCGAGAAAATATGCAATGAACATTAGGCAATTATGGCACACTAATCTGTTGTCTTAGGAGTTGCGTCAACAACAATCGCAGTCATGAATGAACGAGAAAGGGATCCCAATGGTGAGCTGGAGGGGGGGAGATGAACGAGTGATTAGTTATGCCAAAATACTGTTCACTCGAGAATACTCAAACTTCCTCGCGGTACAATATGGCACAACGAAATATCTGATATGTAGAGGAAAATAATCCATCAATGGTAAGACACTGTCTGAGACTGATGAAGTAAATGATGAGAATACAAAAGGATGAAGACAGAACCTAATTACGAGTGGGAACTGGGAACCTATCAGGTGGAACTGTTCGACTGTGTGCGCCAGAGTCCAACTATATTCATCCAACACACACACACACACACACACACACACACACACGAAACAAGTAAGCATTTACAGTAATAAACATGAGGAGAACACTCAAGGCATTAATCGCCTGTATGAACCAGTCTCAGTCCCGATAATTGATTGCATTAGCCACATAAAAGAGAACCCCTGGCCATCACCCGGATAGATTTCCGAGACACCGAAAGGAGAATACAGCGTGTTTGATGATATCCGAAACCGCCGATTCACCTGGCAACACATGATATTAGGCCCAACTCGGTGGAAATTCCGAATCGCGTGACCATATGGCCCAGATGCTGTTTGTCGCTTTTGTCGTCGTCCATCCACTGAACTGGATGGACTGAATGAAACGTGGGGCCTTATCAAAACCCATGAAAGCAGATAAGTTGATCTAAATGAGTGTGGTTTTAGTTTTGTGGTCACGCACGCCTATGTTCATGAAAGCATCAAGTGAGATTGGACAACGATTAAAGTCATAGTTCATGCTTATACAAGATTAAAATTTTTACACCCATAGAGGCAGCAATAGAGAGAGGTACCGGAAGGTACGAATTAGCGGAATTGAAACTTACCCGCTCTCGATTCTACCTACAATGGACACGTTAAACTGGGCATTCAGGTTGATCGTTTGTGACACAACTGTTCCGATAGACACCTATAGAAAGGAAGAAAACACACATTTTCTAGTGGACACGTTCTAAATGATCAGAATTCAATGACAATATGAATATTTCTAGATTTCGCCACTGCTTCTAACACTCCGACTACTAATCGACTACTATTTCCACTATTATAGCTACTGTAATAATTCCAAAAGACGGTGTCTGGTTGAGGATAGTTGTCTATTGCACATAAAGGTCAGGATATGGTTGAATTGTCATTCACACAACAAAATCACTCATTTGAAACAAGTTTGCAGAATTTCTGCATACACACAGGATAGTTGCTGGAACGGTCCATTATCAGAAACGCATGCTTGTATTCACCATATAAACTTTGACTTTAATTTTGGATCGCGAAACCAATTTTTGCGGTTGTGGAGTCTGTTCATTGTCAGATTCGACGTTTTTCCAAGGATGGCGAGTAAAAACCGACGTACGTCGGTGTCTGATATTGAAAGGCGATCCGGAAATTGGGTGACCACAGTGTGCAATCACCTATATCACTACAATGCTTCGGTTAGAGTTCTTGTTTATTGCTTAAATATGCATGATTTGATAGCTAGATGTCCCGAAAACATTTTCATTCATAAAAGTGCACACAAGAACCGGAGGCATATTTATAGAAGAATTTACAGAAGTACGGTGGAGGATGATCTGGACTGATGAGGCCAAGTGCATCTGGAGATAAGTTGAAGGAAGAACTTGTGCACTTGTGTACGAAGTGCGAATCATGAATTAAGAATTAAGAATCACGGAAGCAACTGAAACACTGAATCGCAGCAGCTCTCGCCCGCTGGTATCGCCCATCACCGAGACGCAAAAGTAGCAGTTTGTTTATTGAAAGAAGT